TCAAGTCCACTTGAGTACCTTGTAAGAAATGGTTTAAGCTGACGTACCGCTTCTGGAGCACAAATGCTTCTCCTTGGGAACAAAGCAGATTATGGTAACAAACTTACGCATGGAGGGAGAATTTCCTACGTACACCTGTATTCTGTAGGTAGGCATATTTAGAGCTGCACAACAAACACCTTAATCAGTGTAGACTGAGATTAAAGTTCTTTCTGAAGAATTAGACTTGGTTTTGGGCTAGAAAGTGAAGCGTACCCCTCCAAAGACTTTCAATAATGATGATAATATATTAGAAAATTAAATACCTTCTCCTCTTGCTTCTGATGTGTCTAAATATTATGTCTGTTTTACACAAAAACTTACTTTAAAAGGTGGGGAAATTGAAGAGATTTGTATTGGGAAATTTTTACTTTGCTAATGCTAAGAATTTGTACACGATCAAACACTAGCAGGGATCCATAGCTAGTGTATTTCCTTTAAGAGTACCTTAAGAATCTGCTTCTTTGAGTTACTTGTGAACACATACAGTGTGGCAACACCTTCCTTATGATCTTTTAACCTCCCAAGCCTCCCACTGTCTTGTTAGTGTTACCTAGTTCATCTTTTCCGTTGAACCTTTGTGGTGAATATGGTTTGCAGACTGTGAAAGGTAGGAGGTCTTTGGCTTATAAGCTTGTAACTGAAAACAGCTCTATTCTGAAAGTGCTTTGATATATTTAGTGTGAGCATAAGAGGCAAGACTCCTTAAGTACCCTAATGGAAAACTTCTTTAAAAAGATGTTTTCCTCTCATGTACAATTAAATAAAAATTGAGCTTCTAAAGCTACTTCTGAAATAACTGGAAATACAGAAGGGTGGTTTGCAGTAGCTAAGGTGTCTGTTGTATGCCTCTTGCTTTTTCTGCACAGTTTGCTTTGCAGGGATAGTGTATTGCCACTCGAAACTGCCATTCATTGATTTGAGGAGCCAATATTACATGAAGTTGAAACAGGTTTGTAGGTCTTTGGAACAACTGATGCTACGTGCCCAGCGTGACCTTCTTGCTTTAGGTGGAGTCTGAGCTGGCCCAGGAAAGGAGAGCAGGAACGGGAATTGTCGGGCAGAGAACTGCTAGGGAAAAAAACGCCAGCTGGATGTGTTCATTTTCTCCACCACTGTTTCGATGGTAGGATGGTAAACTAATAAGCTATTCTGACAATCTGGGAAGACTTGAAGTGTCAGCAGTCTAGTTTATTTGACCTACTGATGTCTGCTGCTTTCTTTTTAACTCACTTCATATCATAGCTATTAACAATAATCAAGAGCAGGTAGCCTTTTAGAGATGAGACTCTGACCTGTGTTACAGGTCACTACAACCAGGTCCCTTTTGTGTATCGTGCACTAGACTTTACACCCTCACTTGCTAGGCTGTTTAAACCTCCTTTCAAGAAGGTACAGAACCATTGCTAGGGATCTGGGTGGGTGGGTGTGTTACCACTACCTTTATTGCTACCACTTAGTAGCAATAAAGGAGATCAGTAGAGGAAAGAACACTGAAGAGGGAATTGGGATATCTAATGTTGCTCACTCCTGCAGCTTTGTCAGAAATGATGTCAGTTACTGTCGATATGTGTGCATATACCATACATATTGTGCAGGACCATTCTTTCCAGTTTTCTATCATTTAAAAAACTGATTATAAGCTTCCAGAAAGAAAACGCCCAGTGCCTCTTCTGGTTTCCGTGTGCAGTTTGTTAGAATATCAAAGCAAAATTAAAGGGGATAGACAGACAGAGGTTCAGTATGGACTGAGGAAGACTGGCTGGGGACATAAGATGAAAGAATGAGTATGTGGGGAGAGAGAATAGAGTTAAAGATGAAGAGAAGAGTACTTGAGGGTGAGGAGAATAAAGGAGAGAAGCAAGTAGGGAACAGAATAAAATGATAGGGGCAGCAGAATAATAATAGGAGAGGGTATGGAGGAAGGGGAAGACTCTACATTTATGCCTTAGGATAAGGAAGGGATGTTCTTGTATCTAGGAGGACATACCAGAGAAAAGGAGAAGTGGCAGGTTGATTCTCCACCCAAAATGCTAGTTGACTTCCCTAAAGCGTCTGGACCATAAGCAAGACTTAACTTGCTTTTTAAAAAAGTTGAGTCGTGTTTTAAAGCAAGCTTGTGACTTTATGGATCCGACTGATTTTGATTACTCATTTGCAGTATTCTGTTTTGTCTTAGACTGTAGCCTCAAGAGATGTGAGCAGGGGTGGGAGTATTATGAAACAAAGTAATTTGATTATTCGGGGTGGGCTGGGACTGTGGCAGCTTTGTTTTAACTTAGCAAATTGTTTAAAAGCACAGACAGATGAAAAGGAGACAGCTAATCCAGTTAAGAATAGCCACTATGTTTTTTGATATTGATTTCTTTCTTCACTCTGTCATTTAACCTTGTTTTCTTACAATTTTAGAAAAACCATCTTGAGCTATACTGAGCAAATAGAGGATATGGATAAATAGCTTCCTTTAAATAAGTGATTGAACTTCTCTTTTAACTTACCGCTTTTTTTTTTTTTTTTTACATTCTTCGATTTCTCTTAATTTTCATTGAGATAAAAACTCTTAGGGTATGAGTTTTCTGCCTTTCAGCCTAAAATGATCAGGTTTTAATGCTGCTTATGTCATCTGTTTACAATACATTTAATGCTAAAAGATTTATTTTTAGCTGGCTAAGTAAAATAGCTAGTTGCTAGAGTTGTTGTCATAGCAGCAATCTTAACAGATAGGCTGATCCTATTTAGCTTTTGCAGCCAAAGAGCGACCGTTAGGCAACAGTTTGACAGTTCTGCAGTATTTTTCTAAAGATGGAAAATGTACTGGTGGTGGTGAATTTTTTCGGTCCTACTTTAAAATATTTCTTTCTGTAGGTGTGTGGATTTTGATTCAATCAATCTTTTTCATCTAACAGAACTTAGGAGAACTTTCAATACACAACGTGAGATTCAGGATTTAAGTCTTAATTTGTAGAAGCAGAAAATAAGTTACATAGTGCGGCATATTGCAAGCTTCTTTGTTGATTATTTTTTTAACAGCTGTAAGTATTCTGAAAGAAAAATGCCAGACTAGAGAACAGGATCGTGCATCATTTATTCAGCACTAATTTTAAGTTGTGGCAGACTGGGCAAATATTACTGAAGAACTTTGGGGGTTGTTTTTGATGAAATGCCTGGGTTAGATGATAGCTTAGTATTTTAGTAATTCCGATTCTTATTTTTTTTAATATGAAGGAAAAAAGGTGCTTCTATATTGACAAGCAAAGGAATAGTATTTTCAGATTAGCCTGTAAAATAAGGCGTACCTCTAAGTGATCCCTGTAGCTCTGAGCTGTTACAGAAGTTCAGTTACTCTTAAACATATGTCTGAATGCAGTTGCTGTTGTCTGAGATGAAAAGTGAATTTACTGTGAGGAATTTCTCCTGTCTGTATCTTCCAATCAGATGGTATTGGACCCGAATTGTTTTTGGTGGTGTTGAGCAGAAGACTTATCCCTCAAACCCTCTTAAGTCTCTTACTAGACAGAGTAATTTTTCAAAAGATTTGTTGAAGAACCTGAGTTTAATGCTGAGAGAAGGTTTTGTGTGTTGTTGGCTTAGAGTGCTTCAAATGTGATTGAGAGTCAAAAAGTCTACTTAACCTTCTAATTGCCTTTTTTTTTCCTCCAGGCCTACTTGTTAAAATGTATTGTTATAGGAATGCAAACCATCATGTTAGGCTTACATGCTTATTAATTTCCAATGAATCATCGTAACTTTCATCACATACCTCCCCATTCTGGGTCGCTCTGGGGAATAGTCAGCACGTTGCTTTCTGAACTTGATTCAAAGCTAGTCTTAGAGGGGCAAAAGTGACTTCTGTAACTCTTTGACTGGTATGGATTTGATGTTGCACCACTGTTTCGTGGGCTGGTATAAAGAAATTTAATGAATGAATGTGGCAGAATCTTCCAGCAGAGAAATGAAATGCCATATACTCACAAACATTTTAACATTCAAGTTATATTACAGCTTTTGAGTGGATCAAGGAGCTCGGTGCTGTGAAACAGCTGTGGTCCCACCACCCAAAGCTCCTGCCTCTTCACCCCTTTTACCTCCCTGCTGGGCATCTGCTTTCCCTAAGCTCTGATGTTCACCTGAGTGTAATCCATCTCCCCCCATCCCCCCAAACTTACTAACCTGACAAAAGATTAGTTTTAGTCTAGCTTCAACTTCCAGGTTCGTAAGCTGAACCAGCTTAGCAAAGGGGCTGTTGAGCAGCAAAGCCCATTGCTTCAAGGTAGGGACTGTGGGTGGGCGGCGATTCTGAGGAACTGAGCAAGAACAGATGCATCGAGACCTCGCTCCCCTGGTAATCAGCATCTGTGCTGCTGTAATGTTAAGCCCATGCTGCGCTAGCTGTAATGTCCAAAGGTTTTGCACCAGCAGTGAATGTTTGCGTGGTTCATGGTGAGCTGGATGGAGGGACTGATACAGGTTAATATGGGGGGGAGTGGCAGGTTCGTTTCAAACACATCTATCTCCCAGCTTGAGCACATGGCTGTGATGGCTGTGTAGGTCATTCTGCTGGTACGTGGTTGGTATTGGAATAGAAATGCACAGGTGAAGCGAGGGAGTGGTAGGACTGTGTATTCTGGCAGCAGTGCCTGCTTACCCTGGCTTGAAATGTTCATTAAACTACAAGCTGAGAGTTGTAAGTGGGTTGACTATCGTCTGCTCTTAGATGACGCCTGTTCTCTATCAAGACTTGGAAATGTATTGGACGAATGGAAGAGTTTTCTCCGTTAATACGTCTAATTGGTATTTTGTCACATGAGGGCAGAACTCCTGTTTCCCCGGATGGGCTGCACCACCGAGTTGCAGGCACCGAGTAAAAGGGAAAGCTAGCAGTTACATCTACGACCATTTAGCTGACCTTGGAGATATGTTTCTGTCACTCATGTTCTGTGTCTGTTTCTCTATTTCAGGCAAAGTCGTGCATTTGTCATATGTGTGGTGCCCACCTGAACAGACTCCACTCTTGCCTCTACTGTGTCTTCTTTGGCTGTTTTACAAAGAAACATATTCACGAGCACGCAAAGACAAAGCGACACAATTTAGGTAAGCTGTCATCCTGATGACACTGGTGCTTTATAACTCGCTGTATTATCCCTGTCAATTCCAGGCCAGTAAGGTGATATTTTCTTGTAGCTACCTCATTAGGCAGGGAGATCAATTTTATTTGTGTTTTGGGTTAGTTTAGTGGTATTATTTTAAACTTGGTGCTTAAGCTTCCACTGCATCACAGATAAGTTTTTGTTCACAACTTAAAATTTGAATTATTACTGTTTAGTATCTTAGTATTTATGAATTAATATCATATACAGGGAAAAATAATAAAAATGTGTGTAGACAGATTTTTTTTTTTGCTAAGTGTGAAAAATGGTGGGTTTACTGCCTTGAACTAGAGTATTTATTTCAGTAAACTTTTTTTCAGGAGTTCATCTTCACTTTTTTTTGTTCTTGCTAAGGAAAAAAACATCATTCCTATCACAAAGAAGACTCATCAAGTGACAATCAGAATTATTTAAACTTTCAAAGTTTTGGGTTGGGTGGGTTTTTTTGTGGTGTTTTGAGGTTTTTTTGTTGTTGGGTTTGGTTGGGTTTGTTTTTTTTTTTCCCTTCCCCTGTCTTGGCTTCTTGTTTCCAGTGGGGTCAACAACCTAAGTAATAAGAAAACAGTGTAACTGATACAGAGTACCTTTGCCTCAACTGCCTCAAAAACGTTGGTAAAATGCTAACAAGTTCTTCTATTCTGTTAGCTTTGGTGCTACGTAATGTTCAAAACCAAAAGCATTCAATTTTGTTTTAAATTACTGCTTATAGATTAGAACATTTTAGAGTTATAATGCAAAATCCTGATAATTTTATATCAAAATTTTGGTTGTGTCAAAATGGATGTATACAATTTTGCTTGGTGTATGACACAATTTTTCTTTTAAATGAAAATACATTCTTGGTGGAGTGATACAAGAAACAGGAAAAAAGGCATTATTTCATGGAATAAATTTTCTCTTGACCAGTGTGGCCACCATTCTCATTTAATTTATCTTAAGTGCTTATGGAACAAACTGTATTTTCCATGAAGACAAAGATGCTCCAGAAGGCCAACAGTGCTGTGTACTCCTGTGCTTAAGAAACTGGTGTGTAAGTTTACTGTTTATGGAAAAGATTATTTAAAACAGCAAATCGTTATAGTTTCTTCCTCCATATAGAAAAAATTTAGGCTCCACAGTGGTGTAGCTTAAGTTTGCAAATGCCTTGAAAAATAGAATACTGGAAAATAGTACTGAATATCCATAATGTTTATGAAGTTGCTAGCCTTTGAGAGTGGCATGATCATCACTCTTGATGTCAAGGTAGGCAGCAATATTCAGCATAAACTGTATACTTTACAGCTATGTATACATAGCTGTCCTTTAAATGGTAAGTTCAGGAGAAAAAAATGAAATGTATTAGTATGAGAAGATGTCTGAAATTGGTAAGTGCTGATAAGGCCATATATGGAATCCTGTGTCCAGTTCTGGGCTACCCAGTAAGAGAGAGTGGAACTACTGGAGAGAGAGTCTAGCAAAGGGCCACAAAGATGGTGGAGATCCTGGAATACCTCTTCTGAGGAAAGGCTGAGAGCACTGCGACTGTTTAGCTTACAGGAGAGATGGCTCAGGGGGATCTCATCAGTGTGTATAAATATCTGAAAGAATGGTTAAAAAAGGTGGAGCCAGGCTCTCTTCAGTGGTGTCCAGTGACTGTACAAGAGGCAGTGAGCACAAAATGAAACACAGGAGGTTCTGTCTGATCATCAGGGAACACATTTTTACTGTGAGGGTGGCCGAGGACTGGAACAGGTTGCCCCAAGAGGTTGTGGAGTGTCTATCCTTGGAGATGTTCAAAAGCTGTCTGGACGTGGTCCTGGGCAACCTGCTCTAGACGGCCCTGCTTGGGCAGGAGGGTTGGAGAAGGTGACCTCCAGAGGTCCTTGCCATCTTCAATCATTCTCTGAAAATTGAAAAAAACAAACTAACCCTGTATGAAAGGGGTTTTTATTGCTTTTTACAGGGTGTAATCTCAAAAAGCTTTTGAAGTCAATTCATAAGGTGAAATTATTTGGGAATCTTTACCAACGCAGAAGTACAAATTACTCTAGGTAAACTCTATCTAAGGATTTCTGGTAAAGTGTATACATGTATAAAAAACCTTTTGTGCCAATATAGGTTTATGGCCAGGTTTAAGGTTTAAAAAATTACAGTGCTAAATTGAGACTGTAGACAGTATTTGCCTGTTTATCTGTGGATACTGTATAAACACTAATATTTTTACCATTAAACTTACCATATTTACAGAGAACCTTTTAAGAGCTTCGTAATTGCACATGTTGTGAGCTGCTGTTTTATCTACGTATTTGGGAAGCCTAAATTCTTCAAGTTAATTTTTATGCAAGGTAGAATTTGCTGGTGTCTGCTGTAGTGAAATATCTTCTGTCTCCATAAAGGGAAGCTAAAACATAAAGGAAAACTAAAACTGGACAGAGGGAAGTGCTTTGAGGATGCACTCTTGCTTTTTAAGACTGTTGTCTAGTACCATGACAATAACTACAATTAAGAGCGTGTCAGATAAGGTACTTCCCAAAAGGAATAGCCTTTAGATAAAAAGGGCAAGAGTTTATTCTGTATTTTGGCTTGTATAATTCAGTATTGTATCATCCCAAAAAGTATTCTTTTGCAGTTAAATGTAATGTACTCAGTGCACAAATACATGTAATGTGAAGATTGTACAACTGACTGCTTGATTTCTAGTTTTGGAGATTCCTTTTTTCTTTTTTTAATGTATGTTTTGGTGTTTAATTTCCAGCTGCATGTGAAATGAGCTGTAAAAATATTTTTGTAGTTTTGCTAGTGCTTTTGGTTGCTTTTACTGCTGCAGTTTTCGTTGGGGAAATAACTTGTTTTTGCCTACCAGATGTTAAGTGCTTTGAAATTTCAAAACGAACAGGAATTATTTTAAAACACTTGGTGACTTTTTGCTGAGCCAACATCAGTCTCCATGGAGACTAGCAGGAATTGCACACTTAATCACAGTTGTACGAAATATCATCGATTTCAGCTGTAACAGCTGTCTGAGCACTGGAAGCGACGTTTTTGCAGCTAACTGCTATATGTTTCAGGAGGCTTCAGGATCATAGTCCAGAGTGTTCTTGAAATACATCCCTTGTTATCTCTGCTTCCCTGAGCGATATAAATTAGACACTCACACTCTGACCTTACAGTGATACCTGTGCTCTTGCATCTGCTTGCCTATTCAGTGTATATTAATAATACCGTACTTATTTTAATATATTCCTTGAGTTGTGGATGTGGGTGACGGGTAGGTGAAGTAAGATCCAGCTACATGAGCTTCTTTTTTTAATCTCTGCCTTGCACAGTCTCTGTTAGTTGGTCAGCATGGTAGGCTGGTATTTCCACTGGGTTGGGAATCGTTAATGCAATGTAAAATTTTTGTACAGGTATGAAAACCTTTAGAAAGAGGTAGATAAGAATGACCTTTTCAGGACCTCGGAAGACTTGGGACTATTCAAACTAGCCTTTTCCTGTTCTTTTTCACTGCTGTTTTCTTACTGTGTAGGCATCTCTCATTTCCTGCCCCCCCGCGCCCGCCCAATACATGAAAATGGCTTCAGTTATAAACACCCATGGGTATGTCCTAGGACTGCTCAGAGATGGTCTGTGTCAAAATACGTAGTATGCGAAGGAATTGTCAGTAGCAGATAAGGCAGGGCTGTCTGTCCATACCCTCCTTGAGAACTGTAATGTACTGAACCAAAGTCACTGTAAGGGACGTCTGATTATAGATGCTACAGATCTGAAATCCAGCAGCCTAAGCAAAGTGGTATCTTAGTCTGTGGACGTTGTTACTTCAGGAAATAGTTTCTGCTGTTGCAGTTTTAATAATACAGAATCCTTAATTTTTCCTTTTTTCCTCTTCTCCCAGTTTCATAAAACATTTTGCTTCTTTGAAGTGGTTGTACTGGCTGAAGCTGAACCATAACTATCCAGCCTTCTACCTGGTAGCGGTCAACAGAGGTAGCTTAAAGAATAGGCATCAGTATAGTTATTAAGCATTTTTTCCCTTGTACGCTCCCTTTTTCTACTACTCAGCTCTTCAAAAACTTTCTGAACAGGAAACTGCTTCTAGGTGCTTGTGTTCCAGTAGCTGCCAGTAACCTGTCCGCTTTTAAAGCCTGGTTCCTTTCTGGCACCCACAACGTGCAAAGGCAGTGAGTTCCACGGTTGTTCTGAGCCATATGAAAAATGCATGTGTCTTTCTGGTTTGCTTTGTAATGGATCTTGTAACTTTGCTCTGTATTTCTTTTGTGAGGAATTGAGAAATGGTGAATAAAAAGTCCTTACTGATCTCTTCTGGGATTCCTGATCTTTTTGATATTGTCAGATGTTTCTTTTTCCCAACCCGTAGGATCCTGAACTATTTTTAGCTTTTCTTATTGAAACCTTTATATGATTCTCAACGTCCTCATCATACTCTTTTTTTAGTTCTGATGTGTCCATCTGTGGTGACAAGCCTTTGGATTAATAAAGTTTACTATACTAATGACTTGTATTCTTAGTTAATACCTCCATGACTTCTATTTTGTGTTTCTTAATATGCTGTTCAACACTGAGCCTGATGTTGTTTGGGAGTTATACTCAGTGACTCCAAAACTTCTTTCCTGAGTGGTACTTGTCCGCTTTGGTAGTGATTAGAGTTTCACTCTTGGTGGTATTGCCTATTTCCTAAGTATCTTGAAATCCTTCTGGAGCTTTTTGCGGGCTTCAGGTTTGATTATTCTAAATGAATGTGTGCCATCAGCATACTTTGTCATCTTCCTATATAATCTTTCCAAATCAGGTACCAGCACCTGGGGAATCTGCTGGTGGTTTCTGTCCTTGTAAAAACTGATGGTCCCTTCCTTATCTCTTCTACAGTTGCTCAATGAAGGAAAATTACATAGTAACTTAGTCCCAGAGTAGCAGGAACAGGAAGGTGGCTGTGAACACTAGCTCTAA